CTCCTCCCCTCCCATCCCCCATGTGTCACCTCTGTAGGACGCGGTAGATGCGCTCCGACGTGTCCGCGACCCTCCCCTCCTCCTCCAGCTGTATGTTGCACGTGAAGCGTAGTTCGTGTTCCTCCACCCCGAGCTCACGGAAGGCGGCCGCCGGCTCTGTCAGCTGCATGTGCTGCACAAACAAAGGTGGCTTAAAAAAAATAATCTTTTAATTTACATTCAGACTTCGTCACTTACGCCTTTCTAAACAATCACAGATGGGCTGCATATAAATTTATATATATGAATAATTTACGACTTTCTAAACACACACACATATAATATGCAGGAGAAAAGTTTTAATCACTTGATTTCAGTGTAAATTAACACTCTCGCATAACAAACACAGATGTGCTGCACAATATAACAATTTACGGCTTTCTAAACAAACACAAGTATATATACAGGAGAAAAAGTTTTAATCTCCGTCTAGATGAACACTCCCTAAACAAAAAACACAGATGGGCTAGAGAAAAAGTAATCATCACTAGATTTCTGTCGAGATTAACACAAATTTTAGACAAACACAAAGGTGCTGGAGAAGTTTTTGTTTAATTTATGTTTAGACTTACGCCTTTCTACACAAACACAGAAGTACTGGGGCTGAAGAAAAGGTTTACAAATTATTGAATTCATGTCTTGACTTACTCCTTTTTAAAGAAACAGTTTGAGTGGTTTGTGATTACCCTTATCATTATCAGCATTTTCATAAATAATGAACCTCACACTGAATAATCTTATTCCCACAATATCTTCCACAACACTATTACAAAGAACACACACACACTGCCCCCTTCATCCAGCTAATACAAAGTACATAGTACTCACACTGCCTTTCATGAGCAAAGCCCCCTGTGCAGAATTTTCAGCTGTTTTTTAGTTTTTAGTTTTAGTAAAGTTTTACGATGCTCGCAACTGCTAAGGTCATATGAGTGCCAAGGGAAGGGTGTCAACAGAGAAGTCCAAACGGGGAATCAGACTTACTCTGCTCACCTCTCTAGCCTCAACAGCACAAAGTCTGCTTCGACTATCAAGGCACCCCGGAAATAGCAGTTCACAAGAGAGTG